CACACAAGTCCTAATGCTACAAGCTAACAGAGCTATATCAGAAGAGTAGACACTTAGCAGCTATGTTGTTTCCAGGTGTGTTTGTTTTTAGAGTTTACTGGGTATCCTGGCACACTTTCCTAATTCCAGAATTAATGAGGTTACGAGGATCAAGAATTTGAGCTGGGCACAGTAGCTCACTCCTATAATCCTAGCTTCTTGGGAAACTGAGGTCAGGAGGATCAAGGTTTGAGGCCAACCCTGGGCAAATAGTTCACAAGACCCCATCTCCAAAATAACCAGTGCAAAATGGACTGAAGGTATGACTCAAGCAGTGTAGCGCCTGCTTTGCAAGTTTGAAGCCCTGAGTTCAAACCCCAGTCCCACCAAAAAAAAAAAAAAGAGTTTAAGCCAGGACTTGGGCCATGGCTCAAGTGGTAAAGCACTTGCCTGGAAAGTTAGGGAGGCCTTGAGCTGAGGCCCCAGCAATGCCAAAATAAATAAATGAATAATGTACAATAAGGTAAAAAAAAAATAGAATTCTTTCACAAAATATAAAAAGGATTTAAAATTTTAAAAAAGAGTTTGATCCAGCCTGGGTTACATCACAAGACCCCATCTCAATCAATCAATAGCCAGGCACCAATGACTCACGCCTGTAATCCTAGCTCTCAGGAGGCAGAGATTAGGAGGATCATGGTTCAAAGCCAGCCCAGGCATAGTTTTTGAGACCCTATCTCCAAAATACCCAACACAAAAAAGGGCTGGCAGAGTGCCTCAAGTGGTAAAGCGCCTGCCTAGCAAGTGAGGTCCTGAGTTCAAATCCACCAAGAAACCCAATCAACCAAATGTAAAAGGTTACAGGACTCCTCAGAGCCTCTCATGTGCCGTGTGCAACATGCATATACAAAAGCAGAGCTTCCGAAACCCACTGTCATCTGAGAGTGCCTTTCCTGGTACGAGAGGGCTCTGGGGACTGTGGGGAAGGGGCCAGCACTGGGCTCAGAGCCAGACAGACTGGGCTGCAGGCGAAGCTCAGCCTCCTTAGCTGTACGGTGGGGAAAGACAGGCCCGGTCCTGAGAACATGTGACTGAATTCTGGAAAGTCCTGAACAGAGCGTCAGGCACATACATAGTAGGGGCACAATGAAAATACTGGTACTGATACTATCATTACCACGCAAGAGTCCCCAGGGGAAAGCTGGGGCGCCTCGACGTGCGGTCCCGGAATGCAGGTGGCAGAACAGATGCCACCTGGCATGGTCACACGCTCCCTGGACCCTGCTTTTCTCCATGCTGAGCACTGAGCTGTGCTTTCTAGAACCCAGGCTGTGTGAACGTCACCTATGTTTAAACAGAGACAGTGGAAACCAGGGTGAGGCCCAGCAGCAGAGGGTTCCCCGGCATGGCTGGCCTAGCATGCACGAGGCCCTGGGCTCCGTCTCCAGCCCTGCAAAAATAAGTAATAGGTAGATAAAGGATAGGAAGATGGATGGATGGATAGACAGACAGACAGATAAAATAAAACACATGAATTAAGCTATTTTGCAAGACAGGTCTGATGATGGGTGACCAAGTCTGGCTCTAACACAAGGTGGCCTGAGCCCGGCACTGGCCACCGCACTGTCCCCAAAAGCCAGCAGAGGCACCAGAACAATGGACTGGTGTTTGTTCCTGGCAGCCCTGGTGCTGCTTGCTCAGCACCCCCATTTTCTGTGCTCGGAGTCAGGGTCACACTCATCCCGTGGCCTGGGGATGGGGAGCGTTTGCTTTTGTGGGCTTTCCCAGATCCAGACCCGCTCAGCTCCTAGCTGGCTGTGAGCAACCACAGTGAACCAACCTCCTGACGCCTAATCCTCAGCTCAGCCCTGCCACTCGCTGGCTATGGATTTGGAGCAAGCCCTACCACTCCTCAGTTTCCCTGAACACCAAGGCACCCTCATGGCAGACCAGCATATGACTGGGCAAGGCCAGGTCCTTCCTGGGCTGCTACCGGCCGTAACTCTGGCCCCAACCATTCTCAAGACACCCAGGCAACCTGAGGAGCAATGAGAACACTCACGTCCACGTGGCTCAAGGCCCCCCACCAGGAGAGGAGAGGGGAGGATCGCACCAACCCTAAGAGGCAGACACCATGTTCCCCTGTTTCCGGACCCGGTGACTGAGGCCCAAGAGGGTGAGCAATGGATCCAAGGCCACACAGTAAGCAATGGAAGCAAAATGTGAGCCCAAGCCATCTGGCTGGCAATTCTAAACTCCAGACCACTGCACCTCCTGGGCCACATCAAATAAGGTTCTTTTAAAGGAATAATGCCTTTATAAGCATTTACCCCACTTAAAAAGCCCAGATTAAGAACGGAAGCTAAATTCAGGGCATTTATTCTTCACGTGGAAGCTGTGGCAAAAGGCAGTGGGGAATGTGACCCGTCCCCAAGGCACTGAATCCAGAAAGGCCCATTCACAGATCAGGCCTGAGTCCCCATGAGGGAAGGGGACAAATGCCAGTGGTGCCATGAGTCCAGCAACTGGGGAAAGAACATAGCAGCCAGGGAGGGGACCCCTAAACGTTGCACTTGAAACTGCAGGACCAACGCAAGGCCCCTCACCGCTTCAGGTCATTAACCCTGTGCGTGTGTGCGTGTGTGTGCGCGCGCGTGTGTGTGTGTGTGTGTGTGTGTGTGTGTGTGTGTGTAGACAGGGTCTCACTATGTAGCCCAGGCAGGCACTGAACCTGTGATCTTCCTGCCTCAGCCTCCAGAGGAGCTGGGATTACAGGCATGGCCAGCACGCTCAACATCAGGCAATTAGTATTTTAAAAGTAGAAGAGGTCAAGGTAAATGACAGAGGTGAACTGTGACACTGCCCTGTGGTTCAGGGTGGGGTCCTGGCTCCCACCTGAGCAGACACCTGACTTCTCCATCCGCCTCTCTCCTTTGAACAACGGGGATCACACTCGAGACACCAATCACGAAGCCCTGCCTCCCCCTCGCCCCAAGTGACCCACACTGGACTGGTGGGGTCTTCCTGGGGACTGACAGTGCTGAGGGAGGCACCACCACAGCCTGGATGTTTCTCCTGCCCGGCAAAGCCCAGAGACAAGAGATGGCAACACTGCTTGAGCCCTGGATCCAGCCACACCTGAAGCCAATGCCCACCCCACTTCCGTGCCTCCCACACCCAAGAGCCAGGCAGTGACCTTTGTTTTTGACTCATTTAACTTTACAAATAAATGAATTATGACTATTATTCCCACCTCAGAGTCCACACCAGAGAATTCATTTCCCCGAATCACCTAGTCTTTGGCCTACTGAACCAAATGAAGTGAGTTCTAGACCCAAAAGAAGCTGCATGTCTGCTTCCTGGGTATGAAGTTCCCCCCGGAGGGGGAGAGAGAGTTCTGGAACCAGACAGTGGTGACCGATGGCTGCACGACACAGGAATATGCTTAGCACCACTGAATCACACTCTTGAAACCAGTTTAAAATGGCAAACTACATGTAATTGTACTTTATCACAATTTTTTTAAATAGAAAGAAAAGGAACTGCAGGACTGGAAAGCTGGTACCCCCTGATCATCTCCTGGCAGGCACCCCCACACTGGTCCCCATCTGAGTGCAGAGGGGAGGGCCTGAAGCCCTCTGGCTGGGACCCGGGACGCTGTCACGTTTTCTGTTCTGTTGCCACTCAAGAGACTCCTGAAGCTAGTTAACCATTAAAACCCACCTGGCCTGGAAAAAAGTAGTCTACAGGACCACTGTCCAGGACCTGGAACCAGTGACAGGGTCAGGCAGAGCGCTCCACCCCTTTTAAAGATGGCTATCACACCTGTTACCTCGTAACACATTCTTCAATTGTCAACACAAGGTGGAGGGGGCTGTGCCCCGCACAATGCTGCCACAGCAGTACTTAGAAAAAGAATGACTGGGATTAAAAAAAAGAAAAAAATAATAATGACTGGAAGCAGCTCAGGGGCCAGGAGCAGGGAATATTCAGTACACACTGCTACCAGAAAAGCACTAATTGTCACAGGCGATGCGACCCCACAACTGATGGAAATTACATGGACCTGAAAAAAAGCTGCAGCCAACAGTGCCCTGCAGGCTGTGCTGCGGCTCTGCATAAAAGTACCCGGTGCACACAGCCAGAGGAGCTGGCAGGAAGGGCACCACACACTGTGTGACAGGGACCTCAGGATTCACTGTAGCCTTTCTTCTGCCACTTGAGCCTCTAGCCTAGGATTTTCTTTTGCACCAGTTAAATAGCTTTCCATCTCTAAGACAACATGTGGTGGGGAAGGCAATGGTGTCCCCTGCTCCCTGTGACACACAGGCAGCTGAAGGGATGGGTCACTCCAGATTTCTGGTCATTTGAACAACAGTTTAAATGAATTGAAAGTAGGAAAGAGTCTCTGGCTCACGGGTTTTGAGAAATGGCTGTCTGGGCTGAGAGTTAGTACTGCAGGTCTGTGGCAGAGCACTCACCTAGTGTGTGAAAGGCCCTGGGGTCCATCCCAGCACCACCAAAAATAAGGGCGCAGGAAGCCCTCATCTAGCTACCCCTGGGTGACCTTTCTGGGATTCATGTTTTCTTTTCTCAAGGTGGTCCCATCCCCTAACCCCAAAGCAGTTTCTAGTAGTGGCCAGAATAAAAAACGTTTAAGGCACAGAACTGTACCCTTGGGACTTGTCCGTGATGTGACTAGGCAGTGGCTGCCATCTTGGTCATCCTCCAAACCCCCTTCTCTGTAAGCAGCCAGCCACCCACAGGGTACATGGCCAGCACCATATTTCTGTGGCATGGTAGCCAAGATGGCAGACCCAGATACCCAGCACCAGCCCCGATCTTAAATGATGTCAGTAACATTTCACTGATGGCTCTACTGGTCCAGAGATGCAGCATCTTCCAAGTCACCATGAAGTCAGAGCCAGGCGTCCAAGCCAGGACCCTCTGCCGCTGTTGGGTGGGCCCGTGGGAAGGTGCGACCCCCCCAGCCCCTACAGGAGCCCAGGAGAATTGCTTACCTGTACCACCTCCTTCACCAGCGTCTTGTCCGTGCCAGTTTTGGCGCGCTGCAGCCCGCTGACATTCTCCCCGATCCATGTGATGAGGGCGAATTTGGACCTCTTGCTCATGGCGTCCCCGGTAGTGAAGCGGACAAAGGCGAACAACCGGACATCGTCTGTGGCCGAAGCAAAGAGAACGCGGTGCTCACGTGAGACACCCCAAATCACGTCTCTGAGAAGTTGTGAGGGCCACCAGTGTCCCCACGGCGACACTATTACTGAGAGCACCCCGGGCTGAAGGCAGGAAGGAAGCTCATGCCCATTGACCTTGGCCTTCCTGTCTCCTTTGACCCCCATGACAGCACTTCAGGCTCGGGTGACTACTTCACAGAGGGGCAATGGAGGCAGAGAATAGCCACGTGACTCTCCTGAGGCTGAGCAGGCAGTCCGAGGTCATGCTGGGATCTGAACCCAGGCCTCTCTGGCTGTAATCTACCACCTTCACACGATCAAGGCTCAAATCAAGGGGAGACAAATTCGTCTCCTCTTCCTCCCTCAACAACGAGGTCGTTCTTAGAAGGGGAGAGCCACACTGTGCAGATGGGCACAGGAGGAAAGAGAAAGTGTCTGTAACGGGCTGGAATGTGGCTCTAGGTCCACCAGGGACAGTCAGCTATGGCCCTGCAGTCAGGCCATGGTCTCCGACATTCCCGGCTGGCTGTGTGTTGCTCCTTCTATTTTATACACTCACTTCTGCCAAAATGACTTTGGCCACTAGTTGGTTCCACTGGTCTATATCTCAGTTTTGTTTCACTACTTCTGTTTTCGTCATGGGCACCACAATTCAATACGCTAAGTTCCTCTGCCTTCCACGGCCCCACTCAAAGAGAATTTGATGTTCTTGAGATTTTTATGTGGTGTGCGTGCATGTGTGTCTGTTATTTGGGACCAGTCAGTTCCTAGAGGTGGGGGACCATTCTGTGCATCATTCAGTGTTAAGCAGCATCTCTGGTCTCCACCCCCCACTAGATGCCAGGAGCACCCCTAAATTCCAGCAGCACCCCTAAATTCCAGCAACCAAAACCACCTCCAGGCGCTGCCAGATGCCCCTGGGGGCAAGCCTCTCAGGCAGACATATCTTATCCCATCTCATCAGGACCGCTTTTGTTTTGCCCACAAGTTCTGTGCTTCATTTAGGATATCACCTATCTTGCCAAGCGTATGGTGGCAATGCCTGTAATCCCAGCACTGGAGAGACTGGGGCAGCAGGACACTGAGTTTGAGGCCAGTCTGGGCTACATAACAAGACCCTGTCTCAAACAAAAAAGGAAGGAAGGAAGGAAGGAAATATCTTTATTTAGCCTAATTCACGCGTGTTTCACATTTAACGGTCCTGATGGATGGGCTCTCGTGACAGTTCCTGCCTGGTGGTGGCTGGTACAGAGGACGCCACTGGTCTGGAGTCACTCATCTTGTATCAACCACTTTGCTAAAACTCACGTTCTCGCAGGCTTTGGGTTGGTAGCTCTAGGATTTCTCAGGTCTCCAACAGTTCTGCAGAGCATGTAAGTTAACACCAGAAGCCAAGGCCAAGACACCATCATCCTGTGCACCCCACCCCCACCTCTATCCCTCATCCCCTCCACCTCTATCTGTAGGTGGCACAGGCCTTGAGTGCCAGCTCTCTCCCTTGCATCAAGGTGAGGGGCAGATGGGGAGTCTCTGTGGCACTTGGGCTGATGGGGAGCTGAGAACCACCCGCCACTGCAGCCCAAGCAGGACTCACACTCTGCAGTCCAGGACACCCACAACGCTTATGGTTTTGTTTGTTTCTTTTTTGAGATAGGGTCTCACTCTGTAGCCCAGGCTGGCCTTAAACTGGCAATCCTCCTGCCTCAACCTCCCAAGTGCTGGAATTGCAGGCAAAGGAAGCAATTCCAGGAGGCAGAAGAGCATATGGGTGACAGCTCCATCCCCTGCTCACAAGGGCACTGACTTAATCCCCCAAAGCTGAGCCTCCACTGCCTCACCTGTAAAATTGGGTGACTTTCTTTTGTCCTTTTCACCTTTTTTGCCAACTGAGATGAAAGTCACATAGCACAGAACACGATTTAGCGGCTTTTAGTACACCCACAGAACTGTGCAACCGTCACCACCACCACCACCCCATTCCAGAACATTCTCATCATCCCTAAAAGAAACCACGAACAGACACTTCCCATTCTCCACCCAGCCCCAGGCAGCCACTAATCTGCCTTGTGTCTCTGGGGATTTGCCTGCTGTAGACATTTCACATAAATGACATCATGAAGTAGGCGGCCTTTTGTGACTGAGCTCTTTCATGCAGAATCATGTTCAAGGCTCACCTATGTAATAGTGGACGTCACTACTTTATCCCCTTCTGTGGCTACAGAACATTCCATGGCACAGCTGGACCATGTTAAGTTTGTCCATTCGTCATTCGATGGACAATGGGCTGCCTCCACAATGGCGAGATCTCACACTCCCTCGCCAGTCAGCCATGAATGTTGAACAGGACAGCTCCAAAACGCACCTCCATTTCTTCAGGGAAGACCCTTTCTCCTGAAGCTATTGCCACAGGACGGGCTGCCAGGTGGCCACTGGCACAGGAGACCAGGCTGGCGTGATTGTGGCACGAGCTCCTGAGCCCCTGTGACCGGTGCAGATGCAGCATGGGAGACACTGAGTCCCACGCATTTCCAGGTGGTCCAGTGGCACTTGAGAAGCCCGGGCACTGTGTTGAGGAGTGTGGTCTGAGCACTGGCAGCCTTGGCCCGCGGGGAAGGCCGACATTTCCCTACTGAATTTCACGCACAAAAGAATACTGGGGCCGTTTCCACAGTGACCACACTCCACTCCCCAGTTCTACAGGGGCCGTCCTGACACTTGGATCCCTGTGACAGCATCTGAACCAGCCTGCCTGTCCCTGTCAAAGCCTCCACGGAGGAAAGCAGCTAGCACTGCAGAGGGCCCAGGTACCTTTTGGAGACCCTGACTCTTCGCTCAGCCAAGCGCAGAGCCTTCTGGCACAGTCAGCATTCCCAGCCGGTCTCTCTTCTTGACGTCACCGTCCTGGGTATTGGCCAGCTTCTCTGTGCAACACCAGCCTTTTTCAAGGTGGCCTCTGTGCTGGCTGCTGAGGGCATCCACACGGCCATCCTCTGTGGCCCCCTGGTTCTCCAAGTCCATCCCTTGCCCCTTTTAGACCCCCTGGTTTATCCTGCATGGATACCCTGGTTCCCTCTAGTGTCACCCCAGCTCTTACCGAAGAATCACAAGCAGTCACCAAATTAAACCCTGAGTCCCAAGTACCAGGCCAGGGCTTGGCACAAGATAGGTACACAGTAAGTCACACAGCCCCAAGGGCATCGGGAACCTTCCAGAACCACAGGCTGATGTCATTATATTAGCATGAGGGAGGAGCACAGTGTGCAGGTGGCTGTTCTGTGCTTATCTGACAATGGTTCGGTCAACAAGATTGCTGATGGACACATTTTCAAAAATCCAAGAGTCACGTTATGTTTACAAATGTTTGCCGCCTAAGATCTGGCCAGATAGAGAAAAGTCAACATTTCACAGCTGTCCTGCAGCCCTGGCTGCCTCCCACCCACCCTGGAGGAGACTCGTGGCCCTCTGGACCAGCCATGGGTAGCTCAGGGAGGTTCTTCAGAGGCCAGGTTTGACGCCCTTTCCCTTCTGAGCAAACACCATAGCACGTATGCTAAGATGGCAAGATTAGCCAAGGGTTGGTATCTGGGCTTGCTGTCACCTGGTCTGTGCCATTAGTGGGGCCCAAGTGGTGAGGTACCAGGCAACCCTTGCCAGTAGGTTGGAAAACAGGTTAAGTCTAAAACAGCGGTTCTCAGCAGCACCCAGGGACTCCAGGCACACGTGAGTTTCCAGGGTCCACCCCAAGCCTGCTCATTCAGGACAAGCCCCCTGAGAGCCTCAGAAGCAGAGAGTGGCGGGGAGGAAACAGTGGAGCTTCCATGGAGCACAAGCATCGCGGTGGGCAGATGGGGCAGCACAAGAGGCCTCCAGGCTGGAGGCCAGCCTCCTCCTTCCTTCCCCCCACACCCCTTCGTTTTAAGGAAGTGATCGGGCCAGACGCTTCCTGTACGGTCTGCCTGTTCAATGCAATAATCTGTAGCCCTGAATCCCTGAGACGTGGTTTCTGAGCCACACGCCATCAAAGACTACAAGGACTGTCCCCTGTGACTCCCCACCCTCCCCCAGATCCTGCTTTCCACAAACGAGAAAGCCACAGTGGGAAGGCGCTGCTGTGCAGTGGCACCAGGTCCCCTCACCTGAGTCCCTGGTCTCCATTACCTCCCGCTCACCTATTCACAACGATTCAAATGTGCACCATAAATTTCCTAAAAGCCCCACCCAGGAGAGCTGCCAGCACCACTGTTGGTTTCCTTCAGGACGATGTTGTGCATACAAAACCCGGACTGGCAGCACATGGCAGGCCCAACTCGGGGACGGTGACGCCCTCCCCTCCCACACAGCGAGGCTTATTCGTGAAGGACACAGTGCCACTCCATCCACTGGCCCAGGCCAGTGAGGGCTGATCTCCGGGAAACAGCTCCTGCCCCAGGCAGGCCCACAGGGAGGAAGAGGGGCCTCCTTTCTGCCAGGCTCTTGGTCTTCTTTGACTAAGTTCATAAGCCTCAGGAAGCCATCACATCTGAAGTGCACAGGATGCCACCTGGCACAGGGTAGGGCTCAGCAGAGCTGCCGCCAATCTCATGGCATCTCCTCCTTGGCCCTTCTTCCCCCCACCGCCTCTCCCCTGTCCCCGCTCCTAACACCTCCATGGCCTCCACCACCTGCTCTCGCCTGTCTCCTCCCCATCTGCGTCTCCTCCTTCCACTCCCTCCCTCCCCTGCATCTCCCTGTCCAGGACCAGGAGCAGGGTGGCATTTTAGAGAGGCAAGGAGGGGAGGAGAGTTCCAGGAAGGAGAAGGGAAGGCCAGGATAAGCAGAGAGGAAGGGGACAGCCAGGGACCAGACAGGGTACTGAGCAGTGACAGCCACAGGGATGTGTGTGTGGTGTGTGTTTGTCCATACACCCATGCATGTATGCTAAGATGGCAAGACTGACCAAGGGTTGATACCTTGCTGTCCCCTGGTCTGTGCCACTGGTGGGGCC